TACACCAATCACAGCTGATGAAACAGAATGTTGTGTTTCAATGTAATCTTGATCTTATTATTTTAATAATTTTTAATTTTACCGAAATTTAATTAGCAACATGAAGGAAATAGTATTACTGTTCCAAATAAAATTACTGGTTACGTGGTTTGTAATCATTTATGAAGGCTCTGTACTATCGGAAATACTGACAATTTGTTCATTTTTAATTTAACTGAACCACTACGCTACCCTGGTACTATCTATCACAAACATTGTAATAATGTGAATTTATATTCTTCTCTAATTTAGTTAATCATATAATACTGTTGCTGCCATATTTGAAAACTAATTGGATATAATTAATATCTTAACCAATTTCCACTATTGTATATAAGGAAAACCTGTTTCCTCTATGAGACTACAGACAGTTACCTAAAGATCTGTGCCGATTACGATTTAGATCTGATCAGCCATTTGGGTTATTTAAAGAAATAATTAACCGTGCATAATTCTTCACCCTGTATTTTCTACAAAGTATTTTCGGACTCCTGTAAAAATATCCTATAGATAAAATAAAATGTGACTGTAATGTTGTTTAATAAATTCTTATAAAATGTAATGGTAAATGGAACGTGAAATTATTTTAGATGTCCATTAAACAGCAAACATACTTTTTTATATTTCTAACAGTAGTTTTTATTTTCTTTAACGTTATCTTCGTTCTCCATGTGACATAAATTCCGTAAACATCTTATGATTCAGTTCCTTATAAAACGGAACAGAATTTGCCATTCGAAACATCAAAAATATCGAAGCACATTTTTAATTTCACGTCATCTCTCACCGATATTTGTTGCCTCCTTCGAGCTCGCTGAGAGAAATTGAAAAGTGTCAGTTGCAACGTGGTTAGGTGACATACACGCAAAACCAATGAAAAAGTATTTAAAGTTTATAATGCGAAGGAAATGTGGGAAACTTTCCTCCAAACGCTAGCTGACTGCAGCAGTGTGGTAAAAGTTGCGCCTGTGCCACATAATAACGATACAATTCAATAGAAACTCCGACGATAAATTGATGGTTTTCAGGGTAAACAAATGGGTTCTATATGACTATAATGCACGGTAAATGGATACACTATGTATGCAATTATTATAACTATTACAGGTTCGGTTTAGAGGTCAAAATGATCGACTATGATTAATACCGCTTCTAAACCGAGGATAATATTAACTCGGAAAATAATGTGTGTAAATGTTATAACTCAATTTCTGCCTTTATTACATAGAAAAGTATAATAAGTAAATTTTAAATTTACTGTTAACTTGACTAGATATTAAAACTGATTAACTATATCAATTTATTTGCAGCTCTACAATCCTCCGTGTTTCCAAAGATGAGATATTTACGATAGAAGAATTTCAGGGTTGATTGCCACATCATCAGTTTAGGCTTTTCAACGTCCTTTGAAGTCCTTTAGTTCTGAGACCTGTTTTTTTAAGTACTTTTCAACTTTTCACTCCTTACTTTTCACTTTTTGAGCTATTTTCTGTTTTATGATATCTATGGTCTCAAAAGTGAGAGCGAAAAGTTGAAAAGTGAAGAGTACCAAGTGAAAAGTGGATACTGCAAAGTTTTTCTCTTTTGATAAATAGTTTGTAGTTTCTCCTTTTCAGTTTTCAGTAGGTGCCGAAAAGCGAAAAGTGAAGAGTAATTTTGTTTTTCAACGAATCTATAATACTTTTCAAATCATCCTTTTCAAAATGGCATTTGGAAAAGTAAATGTGACATTTTAAAAGTAAAAGTAATTTTCTAATCAGCACTGAAGTCATTTGAAGTAACCGATATAATATACATATTCCACTTTCTGTGGAATGAATACTTTCCAGATATTTGTTTACAGCAACTCTTTACTGACTTGCTTAGTTATCAATCATACCTTAAAAATGTATTATCTGCAGAATTCTTCCTGTTATTGTTGTCCGTCGCTTTCTTCTTTAGTCTGTTTATGATTCATTAAACCAAAAATGTTCCAGCAAATCATTTTGAATGGTGATAGCTACAACCGGTTCCAATACTTAATGAAAAATATCATTTAAATTGATCTTTTGTAAATAGGCAATATTCTTTACAAAATATTGTGCAGAGTTGAAAACTAAACAAGATAATGACGTAAGGTTCTGTTTTTCAAAAAACTTACTTTACAGTCTTCTACTTTGCTGTTTTCAATATTAATGTTCAAAAAACAATTTATACGTACATTGAGTGCAAAGTTAAAATTGAAAAGTTAAAACACATGACATTAATATAAAACATTTTTATAAAACAGAATTAATTTTAACTTTTCTAATTATATAGAATGAAAGGTAAGGAGTGAACAGTTGAAAAGTCTCACTAGGATGTCTTTTGGAATTAGCTGGAGTCCCTTGATCTTGTCTATAAATCTCCAGCATTTTTGACATGGTGTTCCGTCTTTTGCACTAGGTCTTTCATTTTTTCAAACAGTATACGGACAGACAAAATCAAATCAACGTACGACCGAGCAATCAACGAAAAAAATTAGAGGGCACATTGCATACAGAGTGATAATGTAATACAGAATACGAAAATAATAAATAATAATACAGAAAATCGGAAAAAAAATATATTTTAAAATATAGGCAAATTACCCCTTAACTCCTGCTAATTCGGCACCCTCACATTATCTGACCTTGACGCGCCGGCAGATTACAAAACATTAAAGCGAAACATTGTAGCCACATCAGAACCACATAAGCAATAATAAAATATTCAAATCTACCACCGTTAATCGCATCTTCAGCAAATGTGGAGATATAAGTCATATACATGGCAACTCTCAATTTATTCCGGATTGTTTCGCATGTCGGTCGTAATGGCTAATTTTGCGAATTTTGAATATGCGAAAATAGTAGTTTTAAATGGAGAATGTTTACGAAATACGAATGCCGCTGCAACAGAATATCGAAGGCGTTTCTCTCATAGATAATATTTTCCGAGTCCGCGAACCTTCCTGCGATTTTTACCGGGTCTTTGATACCGCAATGGGAACTTGCTGGACATCGACAAAATGACTTGAATGTGATAAAAGCTGTTTTAATTTTAATTGAGGAGCAACCTTAAAGGCCGTTGGGAACATCCCAAAGCAAGGTTTGGAGAATATTACCAGAAATTTCAGTTACTCCGTATCATTTTCAAAAAGTTCAAGCTGTAGAACCAGCTGATTTCCCTAGTCGTTTTGAATTTTGCAATTTCTGAGAAACAATGGCAATCTATTAATTGCATACTTTTAAAAAATTTATTTATAATATTCATTACATATTTTAACATTATAAATTATTATTGGCTGAAGTGAGCATGAGTTTCTAAAACCGTTTATTTATTATGTCTAATACTAAGAAAATGTTCGCTTCAGGCCGACATCGAGTTGAGTCAGGAGTCGTCCGAAAAGGAAAATAATGATTTGAAAATACTATGTTTCAGCGTAAATATGCATTTTAAAATTTTTATAATCGCATATTCGTATTCTACTCATATTTCCCTATCTTCCCTTAAAATTAATGACATTATGATTGAATCACCCTGTATATAAGAATGGTACAGATTTTGTTTTGTGACGTTTTTGTTTTTAGTTCTGGTCAAGTTCATTACTTCTTATTTAAAAATTTTATAATTTTATTGTTTTAAGTTTGACAAATTGTATTCAGTGTGAGCTACTAAAGGCCAGTTTACCTTTCTAACAACCAATATTCGAATTAAATTATTTTATAGTGGACTTCTAGATGCACACAGAAACGTTTACGACGATCCAGCTACCTGCTGCGTTTTTACGAATGTTTTGGGGAAATCAGAATCCCTTACAATTCTCTGGTATATCTTGAACTTCATGGATTTATAAAACAAAACAGTCTAATATAATTAACAAGTAATAAAAATTTTACACCTTAAAGTTTTAAATCTAAGAAGTTTCCGTTTCAGTTTCAAAATCCAAAAGTCATTAGAAATTCTTGAACATGAAAAATTAGGCAATTAGTGACTGCTAATCATGACGTAAGTAGTGGAGTCTGCATATAATTTATTTTCATAATTTTAGACAGACCCTATATATGATCACAATTTTGGGTCCATAAGCAGACTCTGTTTATTGTAACAAAAATTTTAAATGTCAAGAAAAAACTTTTTTGGTATTTCAAAATTATGAAATTTGAAGTATAGAGGTTTTAAGTAATGTTGGTAAACGCTAAATAGCCAATTTTTTACTAAAAATATCACCAAAATTATTTTTAAGAAAACTGATGTTAAGCAAAATCGCAGTAGGCCATCGATTGTCAAACGGATCGTCGTAATAGGTTCGTCGAGTACCTCTTGGAAGGCCATTATGTATAAACCAATCATTGAAATCGTGCTTTCCAAAAAAATTTAGAAGAATGTCCTGGTCCTTAGTAAATACTTTTGGAAAATGCAGAACATCCTATCTGTAACTAGGCAACTGAAAACTATGGTTTTCATTTTTGAAAATGTAACTTCGAACTCTAAGTCGAAAATCATTATACCTAGTTATTAAAAAATTACATACACCACTGTTCAGAAGTTCAACTTAATGCACTACAGAGTTCAACCAAAGTCTCTCAAAATTTTAAATTTTTAGTTCTAAAATTCAAAAGTTAAAAAAATATTGAAGATCTGTTTTGACTCGAAGATTTCTCCCAAAAAAGTCGTAAAAATCACAACTCTCTATATTTAGCAATAAATGAAATACAAGACATTAAAAATGGGATTAAGTGACCCACAGTTTGTTAGTATCGTAAATACGTCCCTTTTACTGACATTGTCTCAACTCTTTTATGCAACAAATTAATAAATAATAGATAATGAAGAGTGGTGCTGTAGTGGTCAAGGTTGAACTGATAAGTTAATAGTGGTGCTTCCAACGCTACTTTATAATCCAATTATGCAATTGAAGATGATCCTGTCCCAGTAGAAGCCTTTTAGCTTATAATGTAGACGTGGTTGGGAGGCAATGTATTGCGGCACGTTAAAAGCCTAGAAGTGTTCACTGGAATGATGTTAATTCGTAACGATCTTCAGTTTGTTGTTATTGGATTATTGTGTTACTTCGGACAACCTGGAAAAGGTAAAAATGAAAAATTGTTAGGGATTAAGTAAAAACTTATTTGTTCATATTTTAAAAATATCAAACGTAGCAAAGGCTAAGTATATATAATAATTATTCATACTAGGTCGAAACGAAGAAAGACATTTTCTCATCAAATTGGTACCGATTTCCTAAAAAAAATTGTTTGACATCATCAGGCAACAATGAAAATACATAAATATGAAAACCCATACAATTGTAAAGCAAATAGGGACAGTAGCAATCTTTCGTATTGTTGAAAAATATAAAATTTCCACATTTATACTACAATAATTCTGAAATTATTGTATGAATCGTTGTTCTACAATAATTAATTGTGTTTTTATGATTTTTTTTACGTACACAACATACTCTAACACAATATGATGTATAAATGTACATAATAATTAAAAAACATATTAAGTTCAAATATTTTTTATTAAAGAGGCACTAGGGACATTTGGAAACTATAATTTTCTCAATATTGCAAATCCTAAGCCTGCTACGATTTTTTCTAGGTATTTGAAAAACTATAATAGTTAATTTTCAATTCAAAGTAACATGACGTTATTCAAAATCCCTGGTCAAAGTCTATTGTATTTTTTTTTATTGTGGAGGTAAAGTTTAAATGTGCTAAAAATAGCGTAAATTGAGATGTAAGTCATTCGTGGAATGAAAAATTTACATTTTTTAGTATTAATTTAGAAAAAAAACAAATGAAAATGAATTAAAATATAGGTATCAAACAAAAATTATAATGTTTTTAAATTTGCACATTTCAAGGTAGATTAATGCTAAAAATTCACTAACACGATATTTAGAAGGTACATCTAGAAATGTAAATGTTGCTCGAGATGAATACAGAAATTAGTTAGGTACATAAAAAATATATAAAAAATTTGTAAACACGATTCTGAAAATAGTAATTTATTTTGATTCCGTCAAAATAAAGGGAAATAACAATGTTTAAAAAATTAAAGAAACCGAATGTTACTAATCCGTGAAAAACGGGTATTAAACTATACTGTGAATATTGAAAAATTGGTGTAAGTAATAGTAAGTTACATATTTTCTCATGGCATTATTCTGCTTAAAGTCAACGATGCTAGTGAGTTTTAATAGAATAAGGATCATGTGAATTAATTTAGACAAACCACATTTTTTAAATTTTCATCAACGGTTCAGTGTTACTTTTTAGGAAAAGTTGCTGTACGATTCGACCTTTGCATACCATAATTATATTAATATTTATTTAATTGCATTAAGTGCAAAGATAATACCCCAAACTGAATTTCGACCTCGATTTACACACATTCATAAGATTGATTGCATCGATATTTTCTGTGAAATTTACTTACTTTTTAAAAACAGTTTCTATCAAAATTTTCTCTTTTTTGACAAAAATTATTTAACATAAAATTTTTTCAAAACATCTATTTTCAAAAAAAAGTTTTGTTGACTTATTTTTTTTCATTTTTTTTTCAGTCAGGCAGCTTTGATTTGAGCAGGAAGTCGCTCGTTTACTGACTATCTACATTCGTACACAATCGTGTGAGAAACGACTAGAACTTTCACAAAGGTCCAACCACTTTTCAAAAGAAAAAATAAAATTGTAAAATTTTTTCTCGATGTATTCCGTTTCATTGCTCGATGACCATAGCTCAAAAAAATTTTTTGTCTAAAGATCTTGAAATTAGAATATTGAAGCTTCAAAATGCTTTTTTTTGTTTATCTCGATACGATCATTTTTCACTAAGATATAGCCGTTCGAAAGTCACTAAAAAATTAATTAATTTTTTGCTCGTTTAATTTTTTCCTTAGGCTCGTTACTTTACCAATGTAATCGAACCTTAAACATTTAACTCGTACTGTAACAGCGCTTGACATAAATTACTATTGAATTTTTTTACATGGGCAAAACTTTCATTTAATATTAGTCCAAGCATTCTATCACGGATTAATGTTTTTGCAGAAATTATTACCTGGACAAAAAAAATATGACCGTATAGAAAATTAAATTTTAAATTGAGTTTCTTATTCTTTAAACTCGATACAAAATGGCGAACATGGTTAAAAAAATCGCAAAGTTGCAAAAAACGGTTTTTCTAAAATAACTAAAAAAATATAGCACCTATTGAAAAATTTTAAATGAGAAAGTTGTAGATTTTAAAAAGATCTATCGACTGATTTTTTGAAAGTATCGATTGCTTTGTTACTTTTCGTTTTTTTTTAACTTATATTTTTTTTTACTTTTATTATACTTCTTCACGAAAATATAGACGACGAACAAGAAAATTAATCAAAAGAAATCCGACAAAGAAAAGAAGAATTTCATTCGATAAATAATTTTATTTATATAGGATACTTGTTAGTTTTCATTGTAATAATTTTATAGATATTTTATACATAGTTGTATAATTATTAAATATTTTTATAAATAAATTAAATTCTTTAAACTTATTTTACACAAAAATAAATTATTGAAATGATGAAGTAATTGTTAAAAAGCCAGCAACAAGTACAACGTCAGTATGATTAATGAAGCAAAAAAATTAAGGTGATACACGAAAAATGTAATTAAATTTAATGTAAATTAAATAAAAACTAAACTATTTTGCTTCTAAGGCAAAAATGACTATAATATTCGTGTTTAGTTACCCCAGATTAACTATAAAAGAATTTTTGTACGTGGTCCAGAAGCCCAGATATCAAAGATTTTGCAAGCGCTAGCCATTTAGACTGCACGTCATCAGTTTTCAGAGCGAGCGAGCGCCGCTTCCCCTACTCCGTCCGCTCCAGCTGACGCACTCAGCGCTTGCACACTTCAGTTTATTACTCAATTACTAATACTAAAAATCAAGTAACATATCCTACTATTTTTTTTTTGAAAATATAAGTATTCAATATTAACCTCCATCAAGCGCATCGCTGTAAAATGTTAATTGCGTCCTCAAATTCTTTTTTAAATAAAAAAATTATCTCGGCTCCAGAAGGTCGTAGAAAACATTTTTTTTTTTAAATTGGTGAAAAAATGTCAGCAGTTTCTTTCTTTAAAAGTCATTTTCAGAAAATAAAAATTGAAATAGTTATTTGAAAAAAACGTACCCAAAAAAAGTGCAACTTTTTCAAAGTAATTTTTTGATCCTTAAAATTAATAAAATCGTAAACATTGTTTAACAGCATGATAATATAACTCTTTACGAAGAAAATAAACCGAAAATCGTTACTGTAGGGCTATCTGCTGAGAAAATGTAGTCAATCTTCGAGAGCGCCTTTTTTTAAAAAAAATCGATATATCTCGAAAAATAATTAATATTTTTAAATTTTTCAAAAATGTAGTTTTTTGCCTTGCCGCGGGCTATGCTTGCAGTAAATAGCAAATATGGGCACGTAAATGTAAACGAGTTATAGAAGAAGAGAAAAGAAGATTTTTAACGGTTTTTTCGATATATCTCAAAAAGTAACAAAGCAATCGATACTTTCAAAAAATCAGTCGATAGATCTTTTTAAAATCTACAACTTTCTCATTTAAAATTTTTCAATAGGTGCTATATTTTTTTAGTTATTTTAGAAAAACCGTTTTTTGCAATTTTGCGATTTTTTTTTAACCATGTTCGCCATTTTGGATCGAGTTTAAAAAATAAGAAATTCAATTTAAAATTTAATTTTCTATACGGTCATATTTTTTTTGTCCAGGTAATAATTTCTGTAAGCATTTCTCTATAATGCTTGGACTATATACCTAGTTGTTATAGTTGTGTAGAGAAAATAAAATATTGATTTATTTGTTATTGTTATTAGTTACTAGTGCATTTATTTATGTAACAGCTTATATCTTCTGGAACAAGATCTAAGACAAATATATTTACATATTTAATCTTTATGTCTAATGCTGGATAGTTACATCACTCTTGATTTTGAAACAATAATAGACGATAATAATAAAAGGCATTCCTTTTTTATTGTCAATCACGTGATATTATGAATTACAAACCTCTAAAAATTATTACCTGTTCACTGCTGAGTCAAGCAAGTGGTGTAACAACCTACGATACGTTACGTTGTAAAGCACCCTGTTAGTCACAAGCGAACTAGGAGACCATATTCTGGATTAACTTGGTCACCGGATAAGGGCCCAATTAATCGAAGCAGATACCTTGCAGCACTGAAGTTAAACAAACCTATTTCAGAAAACGTGTAATTTTATATTTGACCGAGGTGTTAATTGAACGTTAACAAAAAATGACAGCATATGTAGTTGATTGTACAACTTCCATATTAATCCGAAAATGATCGAGATACAGGGGACATTAAATGTGCAACTTAAATACAATATACACATTTCTGTTAAGTATGTGCTTGAAAGATTTAGGTATCCTTAAGTATGTTCCAATAATAAAGGGGCTTATTATTTACTTCATTTTAAGTAAAAATGGTATACAGGGTGTCAAATAATTAGTATGCAATACTTTAGCAGTAGATCCTACGATAAAAAATAAGATACTTTTTTCTTATAAACAAGGGTCGAAAAATGCTTCCTAAGGGAGCTGCTACGCCCCCCCCCCCCCTAAAAGGGGCCTCAGGAGATCATATTTTTCAAAATATTTCCAAAACCAGTTAACATATCATTATGAATTTTGGTGTGTTGGACACTCAATGAATGTTTCAACGCACTACACGAAAACTGTTTAAAAATTTTAATCAGGGGTGTTTTAGGCAGAGGGACTCACGGGAAAATGCGCCCCCAATTTTTTGCATGTCAATATTTTCAAATCCACTGCTAAATTATTGCACACTAATTATGGGACACCCTGTATAGGAATGTTTTGCTAATCAATGTTAACTTTAATACAAGCATTCTGAAAAATCAGCTATCTTGGAAGCCTTCGATTTTTCTAGGATTGTATTAATTATAATGTATTTAATTAAAAAATTATTTTTGCTTGTTTTACACTTTTCGAATAAAATGCAAGGATCTTATTTTCCGAAGTAGTACAAAT